ACAAAGCAGCTGTTTTTTATGTCGCGTTTTCATTGCGGTTAAAATTGAAAAGCTATAAACATATGCACATTAACACTGTTTACAACAATGCATTAACAAAGTTAAGTAATTAGTAATCCGAGCAATATATTGAGGCTGTGAGCACTATTCTCATATTCGTAAGTGATACATGGGTTTAACAACCTTTTCGGATATGAAAGGTTTTGCATTAAACACTGGCAAAGCCATAAGGGAAATTTTATGACTATATTTTATATGAACACATGTATAAACCTGGACAGACTGACATGGACATTATTCTTATGTTATATGTTCAAATAATTCGGATTAATCAAAATGGGACTTGTCGCTACAATCTGCAACTTCCCCAAAGAAATCAAATAATATTTTCTATACTTCATTCCTTTCCGAGAACTTGTTTCTGGAACTTGCCCCCACTTACTATAGTTATTTTCTTCTGCACTTAAACATGCAAATTTTATATTAACAGCCATACCGTAATCATTCGTCAATTTATTAACATAAAATAATATAAATTATTGTTTTAGAAATTTGAAACAATTGCTTTAAAAAATATAACTCCGTCGCTGTCATTAGCTACAATTACTTGATTTTACGCCTGGAAATATTCGCAASACTTCTCGTATATTCTTGTACTACTCGTTGCATCGGTCTACTCGTGCRTATTTGCTCGCCTTCACCCTGCAAAAATTCCACACGGCGACCATTGCATTGCATTATTGCCGTGTGCCTATGATGAGTTAAATTATCATTTCTCCATGCATCTGCTTTTGTACTCTATATTCATTCCACAGTGGCGGTAAATAAAATATCCCCCCTATACCATTGTTGGGTGGTGATTATTGTAGGTATTTGTGCATGCAATAACAGCTACAAAAGTTTGTCTGTCGACGACACTTTTCATATTTCCATTGATGGTTACTGCATGGCTCCGGCATATAATGTTGCCACCTCTTTCCGTCGTGTAYATTTCCAGCCAACTCGCCGAAGCGATTGTAGAGATTGAAGCGAGACCAGAACAGCGACTTGGTAGTCGTTTGTTTGTTTGTCTCTGGTGACAGCTTTAACGAGTAGTCTGTTGTTGTTTTGCTTTTCCACTTTTTTTCTGCTGCCACTTCAATTGTTTTGCTGTTGCTTGCTTGTTTTTTTTTGTACTTATATGTTGCACTCAAATTGCGGTTTGACCACATTCCATTGAAACTTTCTCACAGTCTGCTGCAATTGCCCCCAACGTTGGTTCGGTTCGCTTGGTTAATAATAATATTGCTCAGCGACTGACTGGTTTAGCTTTGGTTTCGTAGTTGCAGTTGCTTTTCGCTCGCTTGCAGCAATTTTTCGTAGTTGCAAATGCAATGCTATTGGATACCTATGTACATACAGCTTATGTACATATGCATATACTTGAAACCCAATCCAATTCACTTATAWATCACCAGCTCCACCAGATTTTTCTTGTCCGCTGACCACCAAGAACAGGAGTGGTATTTTTTTTTAATAATGCTTTCACAGTATTTTCAAAAGTCATTTGGCTTTGCGAATCTTTTTAAAATACCATACACGCACCTACAAGTTCCGTTTCCGGAAAGATCATGATTTCGACATTTGAAGTTGCAGAAAGCTCACTACTTGATTAAATTAGGGGAATATAGAGCGCTGAAATTAGTATTTTTAACAGCTTTATCGCTAAGTCGTAATTATTTTTGATTTGTAGTTTGCAGAAGGTTTTTAGTTCAGAAGTCAATGACTGGAGAGTATCTCTCAGATTTGAATCAACTTCGAGCAGTATCGACAGTTTTCGCAAATAAAATATGTTTTTTTTTCTATTGGGTATTAAAATGAGTTATTCAATATTGTATGTATTGTATGATAATAAAACGACATTTTTAATCACTTTATAGATAAAAAAATATCGTTTCTGCAAATATCTGTATTTTCAATATTTCTATACACCTGCTTTCCGATACGTTAGTATTACTATTTGTCTACTACGTTGCCACATTTCATATCGACGCCATTACGATTTTTTGCGCGACACTACTAGCTTTGCAGTTGAAAAGAAAAAACGCATTTTCCAACGCTACCAACACGCGATATGAGGAGTATTTATTTATAAWTTCTCCTATACCYTTACAACCAAAGCAAAGAGAGCTTATTGCAAATTTGCACCAAACTTTCATGCAACYTTTCCCCCGAACTTTTAATTGTACATTCATCTACGCCGGGTCATATGCATTCGTAGACGACGATTCCGTTCGGTCGGAGCCCTGATGCGCGAGCCGAGGTCGTTCATCGCAGGGTTCATTGATTATTATGTCTACAATACTACAAAATCCTGCATGGTTACGGGTGTTTTAGAGACGCGACGATGCTTATGCTTTTGCGAGTGGCATTCACTTCGCTTGCTGCAATCGAACCCACGCTGTTCGGTCGTCGTCCTTGTTGCTGCTGGTCGACTTCGTACTTTGGCAGCCATTACRGCACTGGAAATGTCCTGCGCAGCTAAACACTGCTTACAACGTTGTTTTTGTATGTGTATGTCTTTGGAAGCCACCCAGCTTGTGATTTATGATTTACAAAAAACACRCACACACACATAAAAAATGTTTCACTTTCCTTCCAGCGGGGGCGACRAATTGCAAATGTGCATTTTCGTCGGTTAACGACTTGGCTGGTTGACTTTGGCTTTTACGGTCGTTGCTCGTTTATGAGTATTTTGCTCGCCTCTACGCTGAACGAGTACAATCTTGTGTGCGTACTCCAAAACCGAGTGTTCTTTTGTAGTACTCGTRTCACATTGATTCGGCTCTGTAAAGCATATTGTGGSCGTCGTCTCGTTGACGTAGTATACTCACTTGCTTGTATCGTAACGCCCATAAATGGAGAAGCTTAACGAAATTTCCTAAACTTCGCAGTGGCTATGCTATGCACTTTTACCATCATCATCATCAACATCGTCCTTGCTTGAATGAGTGCATTGCAGCTGCTGAGAGCATATCTTGTCCTGCAGCTGTCTAGCTGGCGCTAAAGTTGCACACGCACACATGCGATATGTTTTCACCCTTAATTAATGTCCTTACGCTGTTGTAGTATGTCCTGCGCGGCACTTTTACTCGCTCGTTTTTCAGTGTTCCTTTGGCAGCTAACGCTTTGTGCTCATCGCTTCCAGGATTCAGTCATTAGACAGACTTCGTCAGGACACATTGGTCGTGCTTTGCTTTTGTGATAAACTACATACAATATTTATATATACATATATGTATATAGTCACACAAACTCTTATTTGAGCTGTAAAAATAGTGGAATATGGGCATAAAAATGGCGCCGCCGCTATTCACTGCCTTCATGTAAAAAGCGTCTGTTGCTGAATGATAGCTAGCGTATACATACGAAAAAGTTTTCATCRAAGGTATGAGTTAAAGTGGTTTAGTGCAAAAAATATCCATTACATTTATTTTKAAATTGTAAAGAATAGTATTTTTTCGATAAGATTAAATGTCATAAAAATTTCTTTATAAAACGGAAGTCAGTTTTTCAACAGCACAGTCTAAARAGTAAATAAGGAAGTGCAAAATAGAAAAAAATATTTAAATTTCATTTCTTTGGACTTTTCTTACATAAGTTACAATATGTTTTCAGTTCTAAAAATATAATAACTTATAGAAGACCGTCTACKGACTACATATGTACATATGTACGAAAGTATTTCTCCGGCTGATTTAATAACAGGGTGTAGTATACTATATATACGTAATTCTCGATAAGAGTAACACAATCGACTCAGGCGAAGTTCACATATATTCACAACAACTTTGACGTTTACACACCACATTTTTGTTAGTTTATAAAAGTCAGCGTTTATAATAATTAGCGGGTAAATACAGCATATTTTGAAGTGAGAGTGTGTCTATACGAATATTGAAAACTAAATAAAAGTTCTGAAATAATAAATAAAATAAAATACATACGTACATACATATACGATGTACATTAAATAAGCTGTCTCTTATACACATCTAGATGTGTATAAGAGACAGGAAATAATAAATAAAATAAAATACAAAAGCAAAAAATTATATTTGAATTAAAATTAAATATAAAACAAAAAAAAAAATATATATAAAAAAAATAAATAAATAAATAAAATAAAAATAATAATGCATTATAATAAAACAAAAAAATTAATTGCAGCAAAAAATATGAAGTATATAAACAATATTGTGAAAAATTAAACTAAATTTTTTAAAAATTAATCAAAAAAGTTAGTTTTTAGTTTTCAACTATTAAATTGAACATTTTGTAAAATTTTCTTCAAAAACGGATACTTTTGAACACTTGTAGGAAAACTAAAAGGGGAGAAAATAAATAGATATTAATCTTAAAAATAATGACGAAAATTGGAAAAAGCAATAAGGCCATATTAATATAAACAAAAATAACTATCAACATTACAACGAAAATATTTTTCATGCTAGAAAATTCCGCTTGATTCGGCATAACAACAAAAAACTGTTACGTTACTCATAGCACTATTGTTTTTAATTGCAAAAATATATTTTTTTTAACTTTTTTTGTCTCGAAACTCTGGCGCCAGCATTTATCTAATCATATTTCGTTCAAAGACAGAAAGATAGCAAATTATTGTATATACAAGTTGTCAATACAATACAAAATAGAAGAAGAGAGAGAGAGAACGATAGAGAGCAACATACGTACATACAATTAGAGCAATCAAAGCTCGGGTAGTGCAACTTTCTGCTATGGGTCAATAACAATAATTCTAAAACAATAATTTTTGCAAAAGCTTTTAATTACAATAAGAAACCTCTCCTGAAACCTCGGTAGAACTCTGTCAACAAGCGTAGATATTTGTCAACAATGAGTTGTAAAATGGGAGCAACAACATCTTATCTATTMTTACTGATTTTGCAAGCACCTTATATATTGACTAACCGAAACGTATACTTTTATTCTACTTGCAGACTTACGAAGGCAATAATCGCAGCGCAACTCATATAGTACTATTATTAATACCGCAACAAATTTATCATATTGAAAGTAAAGGACAACAGCAGCGACAAGATGTCTGAAATAATTGCCGAGAAGCCGTCAACTTACAATACAACTAATAATACGGCCGCCGAATTAGCAAGGCGTCTAATTTTTGAGTGTGGTGGTTGGACAGCGGGTAGAAATAGCTACGACGTAACGGATAACAAAACGAATGAAGTGTACTTACCCCAATGGAAGTGTGAACAATTTACTATGGATGAGAAATATCAGCGTGAAGATGAACGCCTGAATTCATTCGAAAATTGGCCACTGGAATGGTTGAATAAGAGGGAATTGGCACAAATTGGCCTAGTCTATACGGGCGAAGATGATAAAGTCAAATGTTATTTTTGTGAAGTCGAGATCGGACGTTGGGAACGTGATGATCAACCGATTAATGAACATTTACGCTTCTCACCGAATTGCCCATTGCTGCGACGACGCACCACCAACAATGTGCCAATTAGCAATGATACATTGAGTCGTGTGCTACCGCCCGTTAGTTATGATGTGTGCGGCAATGAAGGATACGAATTCGAGGCAAACGATGTGTCTGCAGACATTGCACCAGCACCACAGGCTCCACTGACGACAGGCGCATACCAATATGACAGCATAGCGGCCGACAATTTGTCTAATCATCATCATGCCAATGCGAATAGCAGCAGCAGCAGCAGCGCTAACAGCAGTAGATGTGGCAATGAAGCGCAATTGTACCGACCCGAATATCCTGAGTATGCCATCGAAGCGGCACGTTTACGTTCGTTCGCTGAATGGCCACGCAACATGAAGCAACGTCCAAAGAAATTAGCTGATGCTGGYTTCTTCTATACCGGCACTGGTGATCGCGTTAAGTGCTTTAGCTGTGGTTGTGGTCTCAAGGATTGGGATGATGATGACGAACCTTGGGAACAGCATGCGCTCTGGTTACCCAAATGCCGATATTTGAATTTACTGAAAGGACAAAGTTATATCGAAAGCGTTGCGGCCAAATATAAAACGAATAACAGTAAATGTGCCGATGCAGTGCCAGCGGAAGATGATCAGTATTGTCCAACATCAGATAACATCGTCGTACAAYCAGTAATTGCAACAGCGGCTTTGACGCCAACGACGTCCGAARCCACGGAGGCGGCGACAACTGCTGTGAAGGCCACAACGATGGCGGCAACAATTGCCGAGGAGAAGCTATGCAAGATATGCTATGCCGATGAGTATAACACGGCGTTTTTACCCTGTGGCCATGTGGTGGCTTGCGCCAAGTGCGCGTCGTCGGTCTCGAAATGTCCGGTTTGCCGGAAACCCTTTACAAATGTGATGCGTGTGTTTTTTCCTTGATCACCTATATAAACTATTTATTAATGTGTAGACTTACCCGCGTTGTAAATAATAATAATAATAATAATATGCGGTAAATCGGCCAGTTGTGGCGCTCGCAGCTTATAATAACTCTTTTTCTGCAACTGGCCGGTAAAGTAACAAATATTTATATAATTAAAMACTTATTCTTAATTATATGCAATAAAAAATTGACATAACAAATAAAAAAAAATAATACCGTTTTTCTTTATTTTCATGGGATGCGTCGAAAATACTATATTTTATTTGTGTAAGTATAGTATATATATACATACACATATATACATATATATGGAATTTATACTCAGGAATTTTACGATCTTGTTGTTGAAGAGCGCAAACCGCACGTAAATATTCCGTTAATTACACTTGTAAACACTGTCACAYGAACTTTGTGTTTTATGTGTGTGGAGACTTAACTTTTGAAACTCAGCTTCGTAATTTAACTTCACAAATGGAATTGTGCTTTTTAGACTATTTTGGATTTCCTTTGAGGAARCAAGAAAAATCCTGGGTTCTACATAAATGTACAACATGTTTGAGATTGTTATTTAGTTGGGCCAAACAAGAACCCAGACAATGATTTGGGCCATACCAAAGCATTATTAGAGTGGTAAGCAATATATTACCCGGAGGCTGCGGAAACCACTTTTCAAATACCCGATGTGTGGCAAGTCGGAAAAGTTGACTCACTACTGAAACCAGTCAACAAAGGGGAATCCTATCGTCTGATAACTCCTCTCCACAGTAGTGAAGACSCTTGAGGCCTTACTATTGTCAACCTTCACTCACCACCAGAGCTTAGCAAACCACCAACATGACTTTCGAAAAGTGCACAGTACCACCATAGCACTTAGCGTCATRAACGTCCAGATAGCTTGTGRCCTTAACCAGAAAACACTCTGTGAGAGAACGATCCTTGTWGYGTTGGRCTTGTCAAAAGCCTTTGACACAGTCAGTCACACAACGCTACTGGAGGACATAAAAAAAAAAACAACTACGCTCTCTCCAGAAGAAAGAGGTGGAAAATGAACTACCTGAGCGCTCGTCAATTATCCGTACTATTTCGAGGTAAAAACTCAAAACTGAGAGAACTAAAGAAGGGGTCCACAGAATGGTGTCTTCTGCCCGCTATTATTTAAATTCTATATCTCGAAATTCCGACAACCACCAGAGGGAGTTTCTGTTAGCTCGTGCGCTGATGATTATATGATATTGACATCGGGAAATGGAGCCGATGGCATGTGTTCAAAGTTAAAAGGCTATTTCTCCGATCTTTCKCGCTTCCTCACTGCATTGAACTTAACACTTCTTCTTCTTTAGTGGCCTTAAATTATTCAAAATTTATGAGTTTTCATGTCTCAAAAAAATTTAAAATTTTGTTAACCAGTGTTATTTAACATACATATGTATACAKAAAAGTATAGATGTGGTGAAATTTATATATAAAAATGTATGTGAGTGTATATACTTACCTGTRCATATTAATTAAGGAAGGCATGCATATAAAAATGTATGTGTTTATGTACTTTGTTCAAGGTCTGTTCTACAATTTATATTATTTACATACGTGAGTCATGGAAGCCTCGAAGTACATACTGTATATACATATATTAAATGAACATGTATATGTTAGTTGTATATATACATAATTTTTAAAAACCGATGTTTCAGTTTATAATATAACGGCATTAATTATAAAATTTGCGAAATTTCTGGCCTTCATCCCAAAAATGTTCATATTTTTCACTATGTAAAATAGTTTRAACCGCTGAATCGAACTTATTGCTTCACTGCCGGAAATGAACTGACTAAATACACCGGCTGTGTGACAAACGGTAGAAAAATAAAACAAATCTGACAGATAAACTGAAATTTCATTCTAGAATGCACCAGGTATATGAGTAAAGTGAGCCAATGCAACTTCCGTTACAGAATGACTTGGATCTTTGGTGCGCCTTGCATGCGTGGTGTTGCCAACATTGTCGCAAAATTTAGTGATCAATAAGTAATATGTTTGGAAAATAAAAATAAAAATAAAAAATCAATAAAATATATCTTAAAAAAATTTTTGTTCTAACTTGCAAGTATATTAAGTTTAATTCAGTTTTTTTCTGRAACTGCATTCGATTGTATGCCATTTTTCTAAGTACAACAACACTGAAAACTCACCAAGTCACATCCTTACGAAAGACAATTGATAGCACTATACGAGGTGTGTTCAAAAAGTATCGCGAATTTTGAATTTTCGCGGGTTACGTATATTCGAATTTCGAATTTTTTGTGGCGTTGTGCTGGTACTCATGTCTCTCACTTATGCCGACAAGCTCGGCCATTTTGAATGTTCATTTAATTGTTGACAGCTGCTTTGCTTGCACGTGTTTTGGATCTTCGATTTTTACCTATTCAAACAAAAAAAAAAAATGGATCAAAGAACCTGTATAAAATTTTGTGTGAAAAACGAAATTAAGTGCGCGGATGCATTTCGAAAGTTGACTGTGGCATACGGAGAAGCTACCTAGGACCGAAGCTATGTTTATCGCTGGTACAAAATGTTCTCAGAAGGCCGAGAAGATGTGACAAAAATTGGCTTATGCACCACGATAACGCCCCTGCTCACACATCGTTGCTTGTGCGCGACTTTTTGGCCAAAAACAACACACTAATGATACCGCAGCCAGCGTATTTCCCAGATCTGGCCCCCTGTGACTTTTTCTTKTACCCTAAACTGAAGAAGAAGAGATGAAAGGACGACGTTACGCTTCTCTTGACGGCAAGACGGAAAGACGGCATCGAAGGAGGAGCTGACGAAGATAAAAAAAGAAAAATGATTTTTTGAAGTGCTTCGAAGATTGGAAAAACTGTTGGTACAAGTGCATAATATCTCATGGGGATTACTTTGAAGGGGACAAAATAGATATTCATGAATAAATAAATAATTTTTGAAAAACACAAAATTCGCGATACTTTTTGAACACACCTCGTATAGTCGGCAAATATTTATAGTACGATTGCGAGTAGCAGTGTTGGGTGGGATCTATAGTAAACCAACTTTACATTGCTCTATGAATCACACGGGATGTTAATGTAACGGGGGAAAACCATCGTAACTTAAGAGGCTAATGAGTGATTCGTGGCAGGGACTGTATTTCCTTTCATAACTGCGCTTGAAAATGCTTAAATTTATATAATATTATTCTAAGCGTGAATATACTTTCTCATGCATTCCCTTGCACATTGAGCACATTCTCGGTGGCTGGCACAACGCTTTACGGATCGCGCCCACACAAGAGAACTTTAATCTAATCAATTTGCTTAGCACACATACACATACATACAAGCTTAATGTATATAGTTATACATATTAGAGAGCACGCTGCTGTGTGGCGCCGTAACCTTTGGACACACGCTGGAATGAAGAGCAGCGGAAAGATGAGAGCAACTCTACCCAAGCCAATCTTCGTTCTAAACTGATGATACAATGGCGAGCTTATAGTCAATATTTACATACATGCATACGTACATACACATACTACATGTGGTTGGGATGTATATGTGCCTGTGTGTGTGGGTTTTCTTTGAAGCACGCGATGCGTCAGAAGCTTGTTGTTTGGATGCTGGGAAGACAGATAAAAATTGTCGCATAAATAAATAAATAATTGACTTGCTATTGTGCACAACAACAGTAACAATAACAGCAAAATTTGTTGTTCTGAAAATGCAATCGTTCTTGTTGTTGCCTTATACGGAAATAGCTCAATGAAGGTTGTCAGCTTGAAATTAAATAATAATTACAGTTCTCATATATGTGTGTATGTGTGTTTGGAGTCGCAAAAGGGCGGCTCAACTGCATTGTGTGGGCTGCAGGAAGTGTAGGTAGATTCTAATGCTTAAATGTGAGCGCATTTGGCGGCTCCAAGTTTGTAACGTGTGTCAACAAAGTTCGTTTGTAAAGCTAAAAACTCAATGTATGAAGGGTGATCCATTTCGAGTTTCCCCATTTTTTTTTAAGGAAAAACACAGAAACTTCAAATATAATGGACTTTGTTTATTATCATTCGAAAGAACATTCATTGTTATTTACTTTCTGAAGATTATCGCTTTCAAATGTTGGCCGCGGCTACGTCTCAGATGGTCCATCTGTTGAGCCCAATTTTCGATGGCTCGTTCGAGCTTGGCTCTACATATTGCCACAGGAAAAAGTCTAACAGTGTGATATCTCATGATCTTGGTGGCTAATCGACCGGCCCAAAACGTGAAATTAGCTGCTTAACGAAGTGTTCTCTCAAAAAATCCATTAATTGGTGCGATGTGTGGTTAAGTGGCATCGCATCGCGTCTTGTTGAAACCAAATGTCGCCGAGATCACAAGCTTCAATTTCAGGAACCAAATAATCGGCTATCATGGCGCGATAACGGTCACCATTGACGGTTACGAACTCATCGGCATCATGCTTGAAGAAATATGGWCCACCGATTATTCCACCGGCTCACAAGCCAAGCCRAACCGTTGTTTTTTCTGGATGAAATGGCAGCGCGTCAATCTTTTCAGTTTGCTCTTTGGCAATTTTGCTTGTTTACATACGTATCAAGCCAAAAAKAGGCCCCATCACTGAAGAATATTTRGCTCGAAAACGTTGGATTTTYTTAACAGCTCATAGAGGGATGCGWTGTCGCTTAGGAAGGTCGAGCGGCTTCAGTTCCTGCACGAGCTGTTTTTTAAGCTTCCAATGAAGGATGGTAAAATGCGCCAAGCTGTTCTATACGTCAGTTCGAGTTGCTGCGAAAAGCGCCGAAACGTCACTCCACGGCCTTCGTGTACACCCTCTGCTATGGGCTATTGAAAAAACTACCTCTACTTGGATCATCCGTCACGTTTCTCTCTGGATGTTAYAAACTTCGTGGCTAACTTAATATGTCCTCTTCTCGGTGTAAACATTAAAACTAAATAATATTTTTATAAATGGTTAAGCTTTGAACCATAATATAAGAGATCATCCAGACTACATCGATGCCTGGAGAATAGTTCCAAGTTTACACAGATCCATATGATATTACCGTCMTGTTTTGTATACAAATACGGCTCCACACATACTAAACATATCTTCTTTTCCTGCTCAAAGTATGAAAAAGAGAGATTTGAAGAGTAAACGATCG